GGGGGGGGGGGGGGGGGGGGGGGGGGGGGGGGGGGGGGGGGGGGGGTGAAGAGGACCTCGATCTGGGAATAGAGGCCACGATAGCCCCGAGACAACAAGAAACAATCTACGGCGACGTTGGAAGTATTATTTTGGGAGAAGACAGTAGCACCAACGGCAGAGCGGGCAGCGGCGTCATCGGAGAAGCAGTTACCCATTGAGCAGAAAATGTAAGAAAAAGGAAAGGAAAGTAGAATGGAGGAAGATGGAATGTTTTGTTGGGTTCAAGCCTTCAACTCCACTCTTCAGGTTGCAGATTCAGGTCAACGACGACGTGGAGTTGACAGATGACCAATGGGGCATGGGAAACAAAAGATGAACTCCAAACTCCGAACTCCTCCCCTTCTTCCTGAAATTTCTTTCAACTCATGCAATTGCAAGGAAAGGGAGCAGCAGACACGCCAAACTATTCAGTCGTATTGACGTTCAACATCAATACACTTCCTTCGGGGCGCCACGCTATATCTTCAGGCCATTCCTTTGCTTTTGAGACTTACACCCAGCAGTACAAAAAGTAAAACACATATTAAATGAATTTTAATATACAAATGATCATATGATTTACTACTAAAATGGACGTGTGTGATGCACTAAAAACATTGCCAATTTACCGCTAAAATGCATGCTATATTAGAGAGAGAAAAAATAAAAAATATATGTATATAAAAATGAAAGTAATAGGTATAAAAATACAAAAGAGATATTTAGAAAAATTGGAAATATGATTTGTAGGATTGGGAGGTGAATAAAATCCATAAATTTTGTGGACACGATGGAGGGCACACCGCATGTTTGTATTTTATATTTGTTTCAGTTATCAAACTCACCATAATAAATAATAATAGAGAGGCTCCTCCTCTCATCTTCTCCTCCGTCTTGCCTTCCCACCGAACACCCTATCTATCAGCTTCAACTTCAAGTTCTTCAAGGTCTCTCTCTCTCTCTCTCTCCCCTCTATCTTTCATTTTACTTCTGATTCTTTTCTTTTCTTCTTTACCTTATCCCTCGCTATCTATCTATTTATCTATCTCTTCCTTTATCTCAATTATGTTCTTCGTTTCTACTCGACTCAATTCACTGTTCTTCGAAACCGGACTTAGATTCCCCGCCAGGATATGCCGGCCCCTACAACCTATGACAACAAGATTCAGAAGCCCTAATTGATAAAACTATACTGTTTTTTTTTTTTTTTTTTTTAAATACTTGTTAAGATTTTCTCCACTTTGTTTAATATTGCGTTTTGGCAGACTTTCCTTAATCGTTTTTTAGTTAATACCTTATTTTCGTGCTACCACTATCTGGCTAGCAGCACTTCTTTGAGGAGACCCTCCATTAACATCTTCCTCTTTAAACGCTAACAGTCGGTGGACATCATGGCTAGAGTTCTTGTTCAGTCCACAAATATTCCTGGTCTGGTCGGTGGAAGGAAGAATGGCCTATCAAGAGGATCAGTAAATGTAAAACGGGCTGTTAGAATGATGGCCAGCGTACATGCACCTGGTTCGAGAATAAGAAGTTTCTCTGGACTTAGAGGATTTAATTCTTTGGATAACATGTTGAGAACTAGACAGGATTTTCATTCCAAGGTGGCCATTACAATCTCTTCTAGGCGACGAAAGGCTACCAGATGTGTCCCAAGAGCCATGTTTGAGCGATTCACAGAAAAGGCAATTAAAGTTATCATGCTTGCCCAGGAGGAAGCGAGGCGGCTTGGTCACAATTTTGTTGGCACAGAGCAGATACTTTTAGGTCTTATTGGCGAAGGTACTGGTATCGCTGCCAAGGTTCTTAAATCCATGGGAATTAATCTTAAAGATGCGCGCGTGGAGGTGGAGAAGATAATTGGTCGGGGCAGCGGGTTTGTTGCTGTAGAAATTCCCTTCACTCCTCGTGCAAAGCGTGTTTTGGAACTTTCTCTCGAGGAAGCTCGCCAACTTGGTAACATCTCTTTCCCATCCCTCTCTTGGGGGGGAAAAAATAGAATTAAAAAAAAGGGAACAAAACAGAACAGTAAAATCAAATTAATATTTCTCTGTTTAGTTATCAATTTCAATTTTCTTAGTATTTTTTCTTTTATTATGCATGTTTGTATGTTCTTTTTTCATTTAACTTGAACTTCACCCTCAACGGCAGCTTTGTGGTAAGGAAGAACTTGAGGCTTTCGTGGGAATTTGACTCAAGATCATGGGTTCAAGTCAGAGTCGTTGTTGTCTGCTGGAACTAATTTTGGTGCACACATAGTCTCTCCATGGAGTAGTAGGATGTAGCTCGTGTTATTATAAGCTTCATTGGAAGCATGTTATTGATAGAAGTATTCAGTTTTTCTTTCAACGTGAAAAATTTACAAATTCTACTCTTTTCTATTTTTGTTTTGAACTGGAAGATTTTCATTGGATCGTAGCCAATAGCTAGAAGGGATGTCCGTGTGTGCTTGTGTGTATGGATATGTATGCCTATAGATATATAGATCCATGTTCCATCAGATGGGTCCTGCGTTATATATGTTGTTTGACTTCTTAATGTTGTATTAACTACTAAACCTGCATGAATCTTATTTTGCTGCATTTTCAGGTCACAATTATATTGGATCAGAGCACTTGCTTCTGGGTCTACTTCGTGAAGGTGAGGGCGTTGCAGCTCGTGTTCTTGAGAACTTGGGTGCTGATCCTAGTAACATTCGCACTCAGGCAAGAATTTCATCCCGACACTATACATTTATTTTATTTTATTTTTAACATAATATTTTATAAATTGAGTGAACAGGTAATTCGAATGGTTGGTGAGAGCACAGAGGCTGTTGGTGCTGGTGTTGGAGGAGGGAGCAGTGGGAACAAGATGCCAACTCTGGAAGAGTACGGCACAAACTTAACTAAGCTGGCTGAAGAGGTGCTCTTGAAATATATTTCCGGTGACATGATATGATAAGGAGTTGTTTGTTGTGTAGAAATAAGGGTTCTTAGATTCTAATGTCAGTTTCTTGCCTCTCCAGGGTAAACTAGATCCTGTTGTTGGAAGGCAGCAGCAAATTGAACGTGTAACACAAATTTTGGGCCGGCGAACAAAAAATAATCCTTGCCTCATTGGTGAGCCTGGTGTTGGGAAAACTGCTATTGCAGAAGGCCTGGCACAAAGGATTGCTAATGGGGATGTTCCTGAAACAATCGAAGGAAAGAAGGTTAGAATATTTCCCACAACAACTAGTTCCTTTCTAAAGAGTTTAAGAAAATACCTTCTTGTTGTGTATTAGAGAATCAATTGCTTGTGTCTTCATCACTAAAGCAGTGAATTTTGTGGTTTGCAACCGGGTCTGCTTCTCTTGGAAATTTGGAAAGAAGGAACTTTAAAATTTTGATATTACGGCCAGAGAACGGGTGAAGTGTGGTATTTGATTCATTCTGTGAGCTCACCTTAGCGTATTATTGCCTCTTCTCCTGTAGTGTATTTTTTAAAGTTGAACCTAACTGGAGCACCTTTAATGAGCCCCTTCAGTTTCCCTATCCTTTTGTACTTTTCACGTTTTTAACTGAATGTATCTTTTCTTTTCCTTTTAAAAAAATGAAAACATGGAAGAGGAAAATTAATATATATATATATATATATATATATATATATATATTTATATTTATTTATTTATTTATTATTTTTTATTTTTTTAAATATAATATAATACTTCTGGAATGAAAAAAAATGAAAAAAATGAAACTGTAATACTTCTGGAATGATTTTTTTTTTCTTTTAATATAATATATATTTTTTATGTGTTTATTATTAGTCCATCCTTACTCTGGGTTTCACATTTTCAGCATGTGGTTTCTTCTGAATTGCATTATCTTTCAACCTTTTAAGAAATTATGCCAGATTTATTTAAGTATTGTGCAATTATATTCATCATATTATAACGGTAATTAAGCTTTACACTTCTTTTTGTTATTTTACTAGTACCGGAGGCTCTGTAGGCCATTTTTATGGCTTCACTTGAATTAAAATTGTCTTTAGTTCTATAAGTTATCAAGCTCTGACAAATGTTCCTTGAGATAAATCAAGAGATTGCTGGACGTATTGAATTGTGTTTGTTAAACCTGGTCTGAACATTTATTTGAACTAGAAAGCTATTTTTCTTCATTATTTTGAAAATAACTTGTTATTGAAGTATGTATTAAATTCTTTATGTGATGTAGGTCATAACCCTGGATATGGGACTTCTCGTAGCTGGCACAAAATATCGTGGAGAGTTTGAGGAAAGATTAAAGAAACTTATGGAGGAAATTAAACAAAGTGATGAGATTATCCTTTTCATTGATGAGGTGCACACATTAATTGGAGCAGGGGCTGCAGAAGGAGCTATCGATGCGGCAAATATATTGAAACCTGCCCTTGCAAGAGGTGAACTGCAGGTGGTAATCTTGGGCATCTCATTAGGATAGTATGATTTTGATCTTTTTTTTTTTAATATTAAAAAAATTGTGATAAGTGACCCAAGTAAAAATGGCCAAAACATCTTAGAGGCTGGGAAACTAAGCTATTGCCTGAAGACTTTCCATTCTAGGTTAATATTAGAACTGTATGATTACCAAACCATTATTTTTGAAGGGCACTCCAAAATGAGGTTGTGTAATGAACAATATCACAAAGATAAAGGATCTCTCTTTCACGGTGAAAATTTTCTGGTTTTTTACCAACCATATGTGAGCCACAAGAAAAGCTCTGATTTTTCTTTGGTGAAGAGCCTGACTTCGATTTTTCTTTGGGAGACTAACTTTATTTGGCCCTCAACTGCTGCAAACTAGATGCACAAGGAGGAGATTCAGTTTCTAAGGAATCAGTAGGGAGCTTCAAAAGTGCCTATTTAAGAATCTAAGAACTGGACCTGTCAAGTGTATATGTCACCGTTTCTTTGTTAGAACCAACACTAGCGTCCTTGATCTTGTCTCTACTTTTATATGCTAAATTTTATTTTGGGCAGATTCTAGGATTTCGTTTAACAAAAAGATATCCATTACGACAAAATGTAATATAGTTGCAAAATATAGGATTATACATGCTTATGTATTTGAGTTTTTTTTTTTTTTTTTTTCACTTTACCGGCTAGTAGTTTTCAATCATTTATTATAAAATGTGTCTTTTGGAGTTAGACCTTATATTTCTTGACTCCCAGTATTATCTAATTAGCTGGTTCTCTATTTTTACAGTGCATTGGAGCCACAACATTGGATGAATACAGGAAGCACATTGAGAAAGATCCGGCCTTAGAAAGGAGATTTCAGCCTGTCAAAGTGCCGGAACCGTCTGTGGATGAAACCATACAGATTTTGAAAGGCCTTAGAGAGCGCTATGAAATCCACCACAAACTTCGATACACGGATGAAGCATTAGTAGCTGCTGCACAACTGTCATACCAGTACATCAGGTGTTACTATTGAGTGATTCTTCTGACAACATGTCTGTTGCAAAAAGCTTATAGTGTTGATGAAGTATCAAGATGAAAATGTTCTTGATTGTGTCTGCCATACTTCTTATCTTCATGCTCAACAACT